CAGAAGATGCTTTCATTAACTGATCATCCGATAAACGAGGAGGACCTGTCGCCTCAGAGTGAACTTACAGACCACATCAAATGCTGATTTGATCTATGTTGCCATGCTGAAACAATCTGACTAAGGGCGGGCAGATTTTGTTCACCATTGCTAAGGCGACTTCGAAGGATGAAAGAATGGGCTTAAAAGTTCAAGATGACTACTCATGTCAAGAGTTTAATCTTAGCATTAAATCTGAGATAAAGTGGTTAAACAACCTATACGTTGAAGCGGTTCTAGGCAATCACAACTGTCCTGACTGATGGAGGCATTTGAAGTAGCTCTGTGATAACAGTTCCTGCAAACTGAGCCGTGAAGTGGATGGGGACTAACCGAATTCGGTGGTTAGTTCCGCCTCACCAAGGTCACCTTCCTTTCTCTCATTCATTAGCTCAAGTCCAGCTGAACCCTTCGATGAAAGTAATGTTCACAAGGAACGCAAAAGAGTACAGTCAAACAAAGTTAATGTTCCTATTGCTCACGGCATTAGCTTTGAAAGTTTGTATTGATTATGTCACATGACCCTTAAGAGATCTCTTTAACAAATGCCTCACTATGGGTGCGATCCCGGATGTTTGGAGTCGGCCAATATAACCCCAGTACCGAAAAATGTATGTCAAATTATCGTCCGATTCCGCGTACATCAGTGCTCCCTAAACTTTTAGAGAAACTGTTAATCCCCGCGAATTTTTACAATTATTCCTGTTTCATCAACGGAGCCGGCCCACACTCCTTCACAGGCAAACACAAGCACGCTGTATTTGGGGAATCAAGCGCACACAAGGCGGTGGCTGGACCGTAGTCCGCTCCACACTGAGTGCATGGAACCGCTCTTTGAGCCTAGCACGACCACAAGGACTGTGCATCCCGTCCCCTCCAGCAACGACCAACTGTTTCCTAGAGCCAGTATGAACGAGCTAGTGGGTAATAGACAGGTAGGCACCTTGTCGACATGCACATCAAGCGCAGCCACACTGGGGATATCAACCAACAACCATTCAGTTGAAACGACAAGCTAAAATAAAATAAATCCAATAATGCATACAGATACGGTAACATAACTCTTCGCTAAATTACTATATAAGTAAGTTGTTTAGCAACGAATGCGCGATAAGTAAGAAATGTCCACAAGTTCCTAAAAAATGCTACAAACGCAACAAAGTTACCGAAGATAAGCGCAATTTGCGTAAGCAACGTGGCCAGTAGGGCGATATATACAAGTTTCCATAATGACCTCTTCGCTCTACATTGGACGCAGTGGCATATATTGTTTATTCTATAGCGTCTGTATTCAACAAAATATATAACACGGTACGGCTTTTCTTCCTTGATTACTGCATGCCTTTGGAAGCCTGGATAAGTCAATGGTGCCCAAGCTGTTATCCGAAAGTGGTGTTCACCTAGGTGTGCGTAATCTGTGGCGCAACTATTTTACGGATCTTACTCAATTCAACGAATTAATCTATAAGAAGTCCTCGCTCCTCCGTGCTAACTTTGGTGTTTTGCAGGGAGCTATCCTATCACCTTTCCTATTTTCCCTATATGTTTAAGTTCATCCTACACAAACCACATCTATAAGATCCAAATATGCTGATGTGCTGGAATGTATGACCCCTGCTATTCAGGATTCCTCATCATTTCAACGTGGGTTGGGAGATCTGATGGAGTGGTTTTCATCCAGATCTCCCACAATTCACGTTTCTAAATGCAGCATTGTAATAGTTTCTTTTCTTCGTGGCGATAAATTGAAGGTTTTCATAGATATCTCCTCCACCATTACTGTAGACGAAAATTCCAGACCCAAATCTTCCACTGTCAAGCATCTCGGCGTCCGTTTTGTCCTATAACCTTTCCTGCTTCGAGCGTGTCTGTGAAACATTCCAAAAAGTTAGAAAAAGCTTTTTGTGCCCTCAGATTTAAGGAACTTTCGGTACCTTGTACTTAAATGCACGTGTTTGTGACATCTTGAATGATTCCCCATTGGTTACACTTCTGTCCTCTTTCCTGAACTTCTTCAGAATGACTACATCTTATGGGTACAATCTATACAACACATTTCTAGTTGCCGCGGCTTGTCTAGAGATTCTTCAATAGCTCTGATCACTGCTAGACATCTTAATGCTAGCAAACTTTTGCTTCCAAGCTGGCAATTGATCGTTTTCATCCAATTCTGACTGCTCTATCTAAAACTCTCTGTCTCCCTTCTAAACACGTCATCGTTTCGTGATACTGTCTTGCCTTATCTCACGTTTGCTTGTTGACGCAGCGATAGTTATAAACATGTTGCAGGAGCGATTGTTGGAGTAACAGTTGTGCATTTCTCCATTTTTCTTCCCAAGCATGTATATTAATATTGTCATCCAGGTGTCCGCAATGGTGGTGTAAATGCTAAAGATTAACCCGTTAGGGTTCATAAAGCTTATTTTAATTTGAGTTGCCAAGCGGTCATCCCAATGTTGAGCACAAATATTGAAACAGCTCCTGGTAAGCAGATGTTCCCGGAGTACGTTTTCGGTATCCACGGCACTCCGATATTCAACAAGGCGTCACAATTCACCGCCGAGGAATTTGTAACATTTCATGAATCCAATAGTATCATACCTCTGAGAACGCTCTTCTCCCACACTCTTTCAAATGGTTGGGTAGAGTGATTTGTTCATTTGTTCAAATAGTCACTTATTAACGCGTGAAGAAACGATCTCGCGGACGACAGTATACAAACCTTCCTCATGATTTACGGTATCGCTCCACATCCAGTGTGCTATGGAAAGTCACTAACAGGAACACTGCTGGTCGGCAGATGAGATCTGTTTAAGACACGATTAATCCTAGGCAGATTAGTCACTTAAGACGTGTCTCAATAACAGCTGCACGAGGCCGTCAGGAATAAGAAAACTAGTCAGCTGTTGTGGTCCAGAGATCATCATCACCGCAATGAAATAGGTTCCTGGTACAGTTCTTAAACAAATTGGCAGGGTGGCCTACCTAACTGAAGTCCAGGGCGAAACGTGGCTTTTCCATATGAACCATCTGCGACCCTGTTTCAACAGCCACCAATGTCTACCAGACTGTAATCTCAAGCTAGATTTTCGGTCATTACTTCGTGAAGTTTCGATGCCGAGACAAACAGTTGCAAATTCGGATCGAGCACATCATGTAAGCGAAAAGGCGTTTCTAGAGTTTGATCTTATTTGCAGACGGTCAGTACAGAATCGCTGACCACTTGATTGCTTCAAAGGTTCCAAAACATTGGAGTCCCCAGGCAGATAAGTCAAAACAAGTTATGCGTTGTATACGACAGTCCAACCCAAATGGTAATTTCGTCCATCGATCCTAGAGCTTGTGGGAATCCAAGAACAATGCCACCGGCAAAGCAATCATCGGTGAGTTACATGCCCGCGATCCATATAAATTAGCAATGACCATACGTCTGGTTTACTTGTCATTACGCGGTACCAATACTACCCTCCAGTTTTCTATCTACCTACTGGGATTGGTTCGGGTCATAGTAGCTATAGCCTTGCAACTTAGGTACAACCATGTCAAATATTCAATGGGGTGTAATTTGATCAACAATCTCAGTGTCAATGACTGGTCAGGGATTGTTACTGTTTCCCACTTTAACTTTGGAATCTGAAAACAAAGATTCGGAGAGACGTATTAGGTTTCGGCATTTTGCATCCGCAATATGTCACTAACCATTGACCACTGACCATTAAACTTGGGCTTCCTGCCTTTCGCTTCCACGTCCCAGATTCTACTGTGGCAGCTAGTAAATCCGGTAACATAGAGCGGCACACTATGGCTATTTCCCACAAGCAGATCTTTCGCTTTTGAGACATAGGACAAACTTTAGGTCTTTTTCAGTGAAAAACCCCTTTTGTATTTGCGAATGTTATTTAAGCACTCAGGTACAATGTCTATCCGTCGTTTCACGCTACCTAAACTAATCATATAATCTTTCCCCTTTGGGCAATTAGTGTCTCGCATATTGATCTTCGCAATACTGTTAGGCGACTGACGAGTGAAATGCGACAGCACGGGCATACAAGTGTACAAAAATTAAACGTTTATTCGAGGTTTGTCGCTCAAATGTTGGCTTGTTGGTTCCCAGACTGTAGTTTAATTTGTATTCATTTGTTCAGTTGTTGTGGTGCTCACCGGGCAACTTCAAAACTGCCTTCACTCCTGAACTGGTGATGCGATATTTACAGTCAAGTTATCTAACTCCGCGAACTCCACAACTTCAGAGATGCTAGTATTGCACGGTACTTATTTGGTCCATGGAATATTCCTAACGGTCACACCCAATCAGATTGCTGTCAATATCTGGACAAAAAATGCACGATCGTTTTCTTCTCCTAGCTCTGCTCAGTAAGCGTGAATTGTCTCGTTTCAATGATAGGCTAGCGACCTCCCATTGTGAGGATGGAGACATATACCCACCACCGACAACCCGTTGTCAATGTGGTAGACAGACAATAGGGGTATGCTGGAAATCAGTAGTGAGGTTTCCTCCATCGGGTATTGATCAGCCTCATCAGCTGTTAAGCATCAACTGACTTATGCGAATACAACAGTAGGGACCACAGTGAGTTGTGCAATATTGCGGTTAGTCAGGTATTCATGTCGCCTCTTCTGCATGGGCCTTTATTCAAAGGCCTAGAGTAGCATGGAGAAAGACAGTAGCCACGGTGCACGCCATTTGCAGCGATGATCCAGAGGAAAATTACATACTCACACGTTCTCCATAGTACGCTCGATCACGGTCAACGGTTACGAACCTATTAACGTGGGAATCGCGGAATGTGTTTTGCTCCTCCTCCTCCTTATTGAGCGATTCTTGGACACGAGCGAATGGCAAATGGTGTCTCGCTGGCGATGCATGAAACGAGTGGAGTGCAGCAACACAAGTGTCCTACACCGTGGGTTAATCACACCATCTATCGATTTCCATGCATTTGTGTTACCGCATTGGTGTTACACGCGACAGTCGGGGGATGTATTGCGTTGTTGTTCATCTGTATCGTAGCCGCTTACACTGCAGGCCTCGTACGCAATAACTGTGGTTGAAAGGAATACTGCTGCTATTTCATTGGTTCCCTTTTGCAAGCCGGATCTGTTGTGCTTCGGCCGGTGACCGAAGAAAGAGTGCTTTGTGCCATTCTAAACCTCATGTTCATTTGGGTGCTCCGTCACTAACCGGGATTTCCCGTATTGACCGCTTACCTGCTTAACTAGTACTCTGAAAGGCGACTGGATGGCTACCGTTTCACTGACTCCTCGATTCAAATGCATAAAATATTCCTTGTTTATCTTCTGCATCTTTTCATGGGTGAGTTATCTATGCACTCTTGGTATCGATGCAATGTGAACTACTCTTCCCTCACCATTGCTTGTTTCCGGGTTTCACTTTACAGTTACTTGTCGATCAGTAGTAAAACAGTCACACTAAATGAATGAATTGCAATAGATGGATGAGGTGATTTTCCAGATCAGTACTAGATTGAATCCGTTAAACAAAGTAGGTTAAGAAAATTCGCAACCGAAATTTTGTCACAAAGCGTTACAGGGTTAATGATCGTTTCAATTTATAGACCGTTAACAGTCTAATGGAAAAAATTGAATATTTTAGTTATTTTGTACACTTTCGATTGTGAACCGCATGTAATAGGATACGTACCCATGATAGAATACACTCTTGAGTACCCATGTTATAGGTGGGACAATTAACGAACTAAATCTAATGGTTGTTGGCTCAGATTCGTGTGAAATTTGCACTGATGTCGAATCGCACGCGTTGCTTCAAACCTACGTAATATTGAATCAAACCCTTTAGTTTACCGACTTTCATGAGTGTGTCTGAAATATGTCTTATCACATAATCATTTTGATAAAGATTGTCCCTTACTGAGCGATACGGAGAACGATGGGCACGCGAGTACGTGGGGAGGGGGTCTGCACATATCGGCATTAAACATCAACCAACTGTCGATCACCCAACGTTTATTAGAAAGAATCAAGGGAGGCAGAATCCGAGTAAAGAATTCTTTTCGGTAATTCTCATCAGACTCAAATAATACATGATGACGATAAAGTGCTAAATATGCCGGATTGGGCTACGTATTGAACAAAATGTTTAATTACAACAGGAACAAATCAATAAATCACGGGGTCGTTGAAAGTGGCAAGTATGTACAGGGGAAATCACAGCCGAAGTTGTAGGCCACGGTAGAAGTAAAGGACGTACAAACTGTCTTTGTACGTACAATTCTGGCTTGAGGTGCCGAATGTAGATAGCTTCCGCAATAGACAGAAGATGCTTCCGGAATCCGCGCGTGAAACGTTCAGGAACAGTATAGATGACTCTAAAATCATTTTCCTTCCCTGCGTGACTGCACTCTAGAAGGTGAGACAAGATGGAACTGTGACTGGACCACGCTTCGCCTTGGTAAAACCACTTTGGGATGTGTTCGCGGATCCTATGAGATAGGCGCCTCGTGGTACGACCCACGTATCGTGCACCACAGGAGCACGAGTAAAGATAAACAAGCATTGATCGAGTCACCGCAGGCAGCCTGTCTTTCAAAGGTTTTACGAATAAAGGTTTGTTGTAAAATACTATGCATAGGCGAGCAGCGAAATAGGTCTTTTCAACAGCGTCTTTCGGGCGTTTGGACAGGGTATCAGCCGCAATGTCGCCTTTGAAAGGAATATGCACAATTAGTTCTTTCTTGGGTACGTTCATCCTCGGTAGTTTTATCTTGCGTTCTTTCAAATGTTTGAGGATGAATTTATCTGGATACCCATTCGCTCTTAGCGCGTCACCGATTCTCTGCAATTCCTTGCTGATTGTGTCCGGGGTGCGAATTCTATGTGCCCGGAACGCAAGAGTGCGGACAAGGTTTTGTTTGTACTGTATGGGTACCGCACTATAGAAGTCGATGTACTGTCCATTCCAATTTGGTTTTCTATACACCCCTCTGCTGCACGATCCATCGACGTTTCTGATGATATCAACATCCAGGAACGGTAGTCGGTTTCTGGATTCGTGCTCACATGTGAAATGTAGATTCTGATGCGCATCATTAAAAGCTTCCAACAGTTTCACAGTCTGTGCTTTAGATTTTCAGAGTATAAATGTGTCATCTACATAACGTAGATACATCTGGACTTCGTTGTGCGTCCAAAATACGTTATGCTCAAATTTTGCCATAAAGACATCTGCTAGAAAGAGTCCCAATGGTGAGCTCATGGCAACTCCATCAATTTGACGACACATCTCCCCGTTGAAGGTGAACTGCACTTTTAAGGTGCATCTGAGTAACAATTCCTTCAGGAGGTTTTCCGGGATATTTATAGGTACATTCAGTTGTCGTACTAGTTCGCAGACATATTCTACTGTTTAAAACAACGGAATGTTCGTAAACAACGACTGCGCATCAAATGATGACATCCATTTGTTGTTAAAATTCACGTCCCTTATCTTCTCAATGAACTCGAAAGTGTCTTTCACGCAGTAAGTGCAGACGGTTTTACGCAGCGGTTCCAGCTTTTCAACCATCCATTGAGCTATCAAATGTTGCGGAGAGCTAACCATATCCAGTATGGGGCGCATTGGAGCGCCGTCGTTGTGAACTTTAGGGAGGCCGTACAACCGTGGTAGATGTCCGTCTAAAGGTCTCAGCTTTTCGAATTCGCACTTTGTGATAACATAAGCTTTCATCATTCGTCGGAGCAAATCGGTCAGTTGTTTTTCTAGCTCTTCTGTATTATCCATCGCCATGTGGCTGGACCTTACCGTGGTGCGATGGTTTGTGTGCCTCAGTGATCCATTTAGCTATACTGGGTGGTGCTTTTGCACCTTCAGAGCCACTCATACCAGATTGGTCAATGGTTAGAGGCCAGACAAACTCAGCCTCCTGGTCCTCCATTTTGGGGTTTGGAATGAGGGTGGCACCTTAATCCTTAAAACGGACTCCTTGTAGCCCAATGCCAAACCCGCTGGCTTGCGGACATGTTTTTGAACCAAAGGCTTTGGTTGAGAACCCTAATCGTTCTCCTGTCTAGGCCTGGGCAACCTGGCAGTATCCCGCCCACGCAATACAATGAATCGCACTTCAAACAAATTTCTGATGCTCTGGCCACCGCAGATGATAACCAACGGTGCCCTATCTGCTGCATTAGGCAGGGTGGATAGGGGTTTGGATGCTACTGCTCAAGACTTCCCATCTTCTTATTCCCCTTCTTGCGCTTTTTCACCCTTATCGTCCCGTTCCAGCTTCACTTTTATCCCCCCTGTTTTCAACCCCCCAATCCTCGACCCTCCCCCACTTGCTTCAATAGTCGCCTGTCTTTTAGTTTCAACTCACAGGTGAACGCGGAGTGTCGTTGCTGCCCTGTCAACAGGCCCATGTCCAAGCAAGCGGCCCATTCCAGTTCATCGGCTTCCATTTGGAGCCCTCGATCCTCCTTCAGACTGGCATGCCTCAATGTTCGCACATTGCTTCAGATCGGTCAACAGGCAGCAATGTCCGAACATTAGAGACCCTCTCGATCGATATCTGCTGCTTATCGGAGACCCGCCTGCAAGACTCGAGCTCTGTGCTCACTCTGCGATCCCCTTCAGGTGACACTAGCAGCACTTTCTCATTGCGCCTATCCGGTGACGATGCAGCTTCGAGCACCGGCCAAGCCGGTGTTGGCATTGCCCTGAGTCCACGTGCTGAAGCTACTCTGGTTGATTGGATTCCAATCAGTAGCCGGGTGTGTGCGGTCCGATTGGCTGGCTCGTTCAAAGCTTCGAAGTCGCGTGTGACTAACAGGTGTCTATTCGTTATCGCTACCTATGCATCAACAAACTGTAGCGATGACTCGGTAAAAGACGACTTCTATCGCCAACTGAACGAACTCCTTCGACACAGAAGAAACTTGGACACTTTAGTGCTGGCCGGGGATCCGAAAGCTCAAGTTGGAAAATTATCCACAGATGAGCTGCATCTGGGCGGCCAACATGGTATAGGCTCCCGTAATAATAACGGTGAGCAGTTACTACATTTGTGTGAGGATGCCCGCTTATTTCTTGCGAGCACTAATTTCAGACACAGCACCCGCCGGAGGGTGACTTGGCGCCCACCAGCCTCGAACCAGCTATGGACGCAGATCGATCCCATTGTTATTAGTTACCGATGGAGAGGCTGCGTCCAGAACTGTCGCTCGATTTGGAGCACAGGTGTTGACACCGAACATGCACTTGTGTGTGCTGACCTGCGGATGCGCTTTGGCGGATACCCACGACGATTTTGTGAGCGTATTGACACCGGCAAACTGACGAAGCCAGCTGTTCTGAATGAGTATCCAAGTACGCTGTCATGCGAGTTGGATAAACGCTCACTGGATGCAATTGAAGCTCACTGGTCTCATATGCACCAGACGTAATTAGCAGCAGGAAAATCCTCATGTGGTATGTCTAATCGCCAACATGGACATTGGGTCACTTCACAGCCTCTGGAACTAATGTGTGCTCGCCGGCATATTCCGGCTGGAAGCGAGCACAATGAAACTCGCAAAGAGCTCTGGACAAAACTCCGTGCTAGCCTGAAGAGAGACCGCGAATCCTGGTGGTCTCATCTTGCAACAGAGATGGAAATGGCCGCTGCTCTTGGTAACCATCGTGAGTTATTCCGTCTGATACGGGAAACGGGCAGCAGGAGACCTGGTGTTAGTGAAACTATACGTGACGAGAGTGGACAGCCTGTCCACAACTTATCCAAACGCTTGGAACGTTGGGCTGAGCACTTTGAAACGCAATTTATTCGGTCGAAATTGTTAGATTTCTCGCCGACCAGCGATCGCCCTGCTCCGTGGGCTGTTCCTTTGGATCCACCCTCTCGCTCAGAAGTCGAACGCGAGATCAGACTGTTGAAGTTAAATAAAGCCGCGGGACCTGATGACCGTTCTCCAGCCCTCTTCAAATTCGGGGGACCTGCTCTTGTGGATGATTTACACAAGTTACTAATCAAACTGTGGGAGCAGGACACTGTCCCAACCGATTGGAGCCGCTCCATCATAGTCCCAATTTTCAAAGGAGGCTCACGATCGGAATGCGGCAGCCATAGAGGAATCAGTCTGATCTCCATCGCCTCCAAATTGCTTGCCTCTGTCATCCTTCACAGACTGACTGGCACTCGTGAAAGCCAGATTCGTGAAGAGCAAGCTGGATTTCGTCGAGGTCGTGGCTGCATTGACCACATCTTCACTTTGCGTCAGTTGTTGGAGCACCGTCACACATATTGGCGGCCCACCGTTGTCGCGTCCCTCGATATAAAAGGTGCA